TGACCAAGCCTCTTCAGCAGTGTAAATGCCATCGCCGCCGCCCTCCGACGCTGCGCCCAGCCCCCCGACGCCGCCCAAGGGCGCCCGCCCCGCTGCCCGCCTCCAGACGCTCTCCAAGGCCTGGTGGAGGAAGTACGGCTGCCTGCGGCCCTAGCCCGCCCCCGCCCAGCGGCAGAGACCGTTCCGGGGGCGCGGCGGAGGGGGAGACGTTGTGGGCGAGGCGAGCTCATCCCGGTCGTCTTGGCCAGAGACTTTCGAGGCGCTCTGCGCTGACTCCCGGGGAAGGAAGGAGGCGGGCGGCGGGGCAGCACACGGGAGACGCCTCTTCTCTTCGGGACCACGACAGAGTTCACTCCAGCCTCCGGGTAGACCCGCATGGGGACAGCGGATGAACTTCGGATGGGGGGTGGGGGACACGGAGCAACCTGCTCTCACGCCTAACCCCACCCCCAGAGTTAGGCTGTGCCACCGCCAGGCGTGCTTTCCAACGGGGGCGCAGCGGGTGATGTGTATGCGGCGCGTGTATGCGGCGCGCGCACACACACACTAAGGCCCCTCCACTTTCCCCAAGGGCCCCCTGCTAGAAAGGTCCTAGCTACGGGCCTGCATCTAATGCAAGATCCAATCAGTGTTGATGCTTCACTAAATGGCTGCCACTTGTGAAAGAAAAAACCGGGATCTATCGCACAACATTATGAAGTGAGGTTGAAATAAGCCCTGTTATTGCTAACAAGGGAACTCACAGGAGACAATACAAAACTGTTCTCTCTTGGGATCTTTCCATTTTATAAGACTTCCATCCACATGCACACTGTATGCTATAATGATGGTATTTTACCAATAAGCGCTAAAAACAATTTGAACAGTCCAATTAAGTTTTATACTCAAATCAGTCCAATAACGAATTAATCATTAAATATATGAGGGAGGCATTTTCTATGTAGAGAAGTGGGGATATATAATCCAAACTTTCTTCCTAAAACAAGTGATTTAGAAGGGACAACCTGAGTAATGCTCCATAATGACAAAAAAGGTGATTGTAGATCCTTCGAGAATTAAAATAAGTTGAGTATCTTTGTTCTTTCATCATCTCCCAGCTCATGCCAGTGTTTCCAGGTCTGGCACACAGAAGCATAATTAGAGTACTCCCAGCCTCCTTGAGTACTCCTATCCTAAGGAGAGGGAAGCATTTGGAAAGGCCTGAACAGAGCTTCTTTTCCTCACCACAACCATTCAAATGTCAAGATATTGCAGCTCTACAGAATACATGCTGACATCTCAGAGGAGGCTCTCTTGAGGACCCAGTGCAAGGTGAAGGCAATGGCAGCATGGTGGAGAGAGAGGAAAGAGCAAGAATAGGAAAAAGGGCTAATGTCCCGACTTTTATGTAACTGGCATTTCGCAGACACCTGCCTTTTTATTTGTTTTAATAATTACAGTAATATATCAAATAATTTAAAATACTTTTCTTAGGTGGAATTCATTCAGCTTAGTAAGTCTGATGGTCTGTTTAATGTTATCACAAGCTACAAAATGAGGGGTATTTTTGCTTTGTTTAAATTTATGAATGTTCCGGGTGGGGGAAGGGAGCTTTATCTGTTACAATATTACTTAACTAGCCTCCTACCCATGCTTCGCTACGGTATTTAAGTTCCATAAATCCAGTTATAATACTGATGATGTGAAGTTTGAAATGTGACATTTGTTGTAGGAATTCTAGTGGAGAAGATTGTAGTATAAAAAAAAAAAGTGAGACATTTGTACTTTTTTTTTCTCTACCAAAGGACCTCTCTCTAGACCACATTGGTGGTTCTGCCCTCAGGTGCTAGGATCACCAGGCTGCTTGATGAGCTCACTCTGGAGCAGGCAACATAGAACTGTCCATTTAAGAAGCAGTCATCTGTTAAGTCACTGGTACTTGGCCTGTGCAGCTCAGTGCCCCGCAGGAGTACTATGTGCAAATGTCTTTGCCGCATTCCTAAGTTGCCTCCTCCTTGTAGAGTTGGTGTATCTGGCTTGATGTTTGCCAGGAGCTTTCTTGGGGGCAGGAAGAGGTGAGAGGTGTGAGGGGGAGTTAGTGTGAGGGAGTGGGGAGGAGTATTAGAAGACACTGTGGAGGTAGGGCTGGCAGGATCACTAAGGGATTACTGCTGGGGCAGGCTCCCTCATGGCTTTAAGCACCCTGCAACTGCTGCTGCACCTGACAGACAACTGCCTGTCAGGTGTAGAAGGGGGGAGCATGTTGGAAGCCATTCAGAGAGGCTGGGCCAGCAGCTTTGCTTCACCTCACAGACAGTTGGCCATTCCTGATTTCCTCAACTGTCATTAGCTCTCTGCAGTCCCCTGTAACTGGTGGTTGTTGTTGTTTTTTTACCTCAGAACACTGAGCTCTGCAGCTGACCAATCAGAGAGTGGGGGGTGCAGGGAGGCAGCAGCATGGCAGCCACATAGGAATCAATGGGGGGAGCACATTTTCCCCCTTTTGACCCCCTTAGCGGTCGAATTTCTAAAAATCCCTTCTTAGTGAGCACCTACATCATGGTAGGAGTGCTCTCCCCGAATTTGGTGTCTCTAGGTCCAGCGGTTTGGCCTGGGCATTGGTTTTACAGTGAGGGGACTTTCTTTTAAATATATAGAGATGAGACTAGTAACATTTTCCACTGAAAAGCCAAGGACCCATTGTCATACCTTTGCTTCAATGCGTAACCTCCGTCCATCAACAATGAATGGCTCTTTGGTAAATTCATCATACGAATACTGCCATTCACATGTTAACTGTCCAAATGTGCCTTTTGTCACAAATAATATTTCACTAAACAATACATGAAAAGAAACTGTTAAAATTATAGAAATACAACCATAGCATAACTCTCTGTTTTTAAAAACGTCATAAGTAGCACGTAGTTTATTTATTAAAAACATTTATTAGCCATCTTTCTACCTTGTGGAACTCAAGGCAGTTTACAATGTAAATAAAACAATGACTATAAAAAACACATAGAAGACTAGAAGTGAAAAACTCAGGACTGCCAATAATAATTATTATTTTTTTAAAGCCTGCTTGGTGTAGCGGTTAAGAGTGGCAGATTCTAATCTGGAGAACCAGGTTTGATTCCCCAACTCCTCCACATGAAGCCAGCTGGTTGACCTTGGGTCTCTCAGAGCTCTCTCAGCTCCACCTACCTCAATATTTTTTCAATATCCTCATCTACTGGATATTGAAGTCAACATAAAATGAAGAACAGTTTGCAGAAAGAGTGCTTACTTGTAACTGCTGTTCTTCAAGTGGCCGTTTGTGCATTCACACTGTTGGGCTTTCTGCATGCTCACTGCCAATGGTTCAGAAACTTCTAGAGCTAGCTTTTGGGCAAGGAAGTTTCTTTCCCTCAGGCATGTTGTTTCAGACTGTGCACAACTGGTGAAGAGGAGTAATTCCTTGTTGCTCAGTTCCTTCAAACATCGTAAGATGTTGCAGCAAGTTAAAGGCATATGTAGTAGGGAAGGTGGACGAGTTGTGTGAATACACATGTGACCACTTGAAGAACAATTATAAGCAAACAACCCATCTTTACTTCTTCATAATCTCTGTGGAAAGACTATAATTTCTTAACATTGAAGGTGCTCTTCAACCCCAGCCACGTACTTGGTGAAAACCCTCAGCATAGTGGAGAGGCTGAAAGGTAACACCCTGTACTGGAGATTTCCATGGCATCAAGGCAAACTAGTATTTATTTATTTAGTTTGATTTGTACCCTGCCCTCCCCGCCAGAGCAGGCTCAGGTAATCCCTCCCATGCTCCTGCCACTCTTTCTGAAGGGCCTGAAGCATTGGGGAGTCTTCGACTGGACTCTCGAGAGATGACCAGCACTGAAATCAGAGGTGTCTCGATGCTGGCAGAGGAATCTGAACATGGATGATCTTAGTGATTGGTTCCGATGGCTGCAGTATGATAGATGAAACGGCTCTCAGGAACGTGGCTACTGCTGGTGTCAGTATCAAAATGGTGGTTGGTTGATTTTGACTAGTAATTGGGACCAATTCAATTTCTTTGCCCTCTTTGATGAAACCTGACCAGACAAGACTTTCCAAGTCTGCTGGGGAACCATCATTCTCAGGATGCTGGGACACTGATGGAGAGGAGGCAGGTTTTTCAGTGGCAGAGGGATTAGCTGTCTCCTGAGAAGTCATGAGTGCCTTTTCCTAAAGCATCACCCACAGACAAGGAACATGGTTATGATGAGCTTCCTTTGTGATTTCTGACTCTATTTATTTTTATTTCTTTATTTTATTGGATTTGTATCCTGCCATCCCTGCATAGTGGGTTCAGGGCGGGTTCCATCAAATGCAATATACAATAATTAAAAACGGTTTCAAATACATCAGATAAAATACAGTGCAATTTCTATATATCCCATCAGAGCCTCAATAGATGTAACCTGTCACAATTCGGTTCCATATATTACTCAGATCTGATCCACTGAAGGGGAGGCCCAATAGACAGATAAAAAGGAGAACGTCCACTGCCTCAACTAAAAGCCTGGCAGAAGAGCTCTACCTTGTGCTGTTCACCCAAACAAAGAAGACAATGGACGTCAGCTGAAAGAAGCTTACCTCCACACTGTGGCAGCACTGTTTTACTAAATTTAGCAAAAAGGACAAAGAAGAAAAAAGGGGAAAAAAACTGAACCTAAACCTAGAATTCAGAACCTAAAAAGGTTAGTCAGGAATAGAAAAGGGCCAACTCTAAAAATCTAATAATAAAATATACAAAAATATATATGTGTGTTTATTCAACATAAATTAAAATAACAAACAAGGGCCCATTCATACCTCATATAAAACTATAAAAACATACAAGGGCTAATAAGATAGACCTAATAAGATAGACCTAATGCGTTTCGGCCTTTACAGGCCTTCTTCAGAGGTCTAATACATACAGAACATATAGGCTGATGTGTAAAAATACATACAATTCTACATATACAAAATATGGAATAAAGACCAGAGATCAATAACAGACTATGATATTCTAGCTCTCATGTATTCAATTGCAGATTTCCACACTAAAAAATCTCAACTGTCCTTCCCACTTTAATTATAACGAAGCTATGAAGGAAGTGTGTTGAAGAAATTGGGGGGGGGGGAGACAACCACACCAAACTGGCTATTTTTACACACTTGAAGGTTTGAATTCAAAGATTCTGTTTCCTCCAATGGTGGAGTTCTCCTCTGGGGCAAGGATCCTTTTACCAGTGGAACACACCTCTTACGCTGGAGAAAGGCTCCATAGTCAGTAGAACAGAACCTTCGTATCCAATTGAAGAATCTGTACGTTTAAAGACACCAGCACTTACTAGGAAATATAAAAACGATCTATCTGAGCATAGTATGTCCTAAAAGCAATACCAAGTAGGCAATTTAAGCAGATGAAAGGGAAACCTTACCTTTTTGTTACCATCAGTAAATCTGTATTATTAATCATGGCATGTGTGAAGTATCTCAGTTTTGCAAATCTTCCATTTTCAATATTCTAAAAGGAAAAAGAAATGGGTATACAATGGCCTAGAGACTAATTTAATTCATATTTAATAACTTAAATCGATTTCAACTTACTATGAGAACTTTAAAAAGCCTGCATAGATCATTTATAGAATTCTGTTTTATATACATACCACCACATCCATCAGCAAGACACATTCCTCATATTTTCATTACAACAGCTGCCCTGGAATCTATTATTATCTTTCACATTACGAAAACTTTCATGGTTTACAGCAGTGATTCATTCTTAATTTAAATGTCAACAAAATTCAGCTGATATAACATTTTAGAATTCTAGCAGAACCTAATATGTAGCGATGAGTATGAACCCGGGAAAATGCAGTTTGTGGCAGTTCATGAGCCACGAACCTCCATGAATTTTTAGGTGCCAAACAAACCGATTCCATTTGTGACATAAATTATGTGGTAGAACACCTCCCCCGCCCCCAGCATGCTAGAGACACCAAAATTGCAGGGGATCTCCAGTTGACTCTCCTCTAGTAAAGGTAATGGTTTCCTTTGCTTGAAAGCTAGTTGAATCTGACTCTATGGTGTGGTGCTCATCTCCGTTTCAAGCCGAAGAGCCAGCTCTGTTGGAAAACATTTCCGTGCTCATGTGGCCAACATGACTAGACACCGAGGTGCACGGAACGCTGTTACCTTCCCACCGAAGCGGTACCTATTTATCTACTTGTAATTTCTTGCTTTTGAACTGCTAGGTTGGCAGGAGCTGGGACTAGAGACAGAAGCTCATTCTTCAGTTGCTTGCCCACTGCATCGCCGATGTGGGGGTTCAGGGACTTGCCTTGCAATGGCTTGTCTCCTTTCTCCAGGGTCGGGGACAAAGGGTGGCACTTGGGGAGAAGCTGTCCCGAAGGCACCCACTAGGGGCAGTACTCTCCCCGATGCTATTTAACATCTATATGCACTCCCTTGCCGAGACTGCCCGGAGACATGGGCTAGGGTGTTACCAATATGTGGATGACACCCAGCTCTATCTGTTGTTGGGCGGTCAGCCTGGCTCTACCCCGGAAGATCTGGACCAGACGTTGCAGGATGTGGCGGGATGGCTTAGACTGAACCGACTGCAATTGAATCCGGTCCTATGCCTGAATCGGAGCAGTCCAGGGTTATGGGTCCCTCTACCGGCCTTCGGTGGGGCGCCATTGGTGACAGCGCTGAGGGTCAGGAGTTTGGGAGTGCTGCTGGATGCTTCCCTGACAATGTAGGCCCAGGTAGCAGCCACTGCCAAGACAGCCTTTTACCATCTCCAGCTGATTAGACAGTTGGTCCCCTTCCTCGAACGCAATGATCTGGCTTCAGTGATCCACGCTATGGTCACCTCGAGGTTGGACTACTGCAATGCTCTCTACATGGGGCTGCCCTTGGGGCAACTCCGGAAGCTGCAGCTAGTGCAAAATGCAGAGGCCAGGCTGCTGATGGGCTTCCCCATGCGGGAGCACATCCAGCCAGTGCTAAAGTTGCTGCACTGGCTGCCAATAGCATTCCGGATCTGCTTCAAGGTGCTGGTTTTGACCTTTAAAGCCCTTTATGGTCAGGGGCCTGCCTACCTGAGGGACCGACTTTCCCCGCATGTTCCCCAGAGAGCACTACAATCTGGAACACAAAACCACCTGGCCCCCCCTAGGCCTAGGGACGCTAGGTTGGCATCGATTAGGACCAGGGCGTTTTCCTTGGTGGTGCCAACGCTCTGGAATGAGCTCCCCAGTGAGATTAGGGCCCTGTGGGACCTCCAGCAATTCCGCACGGCCATGAAAACGGAACTTTTTCGCTGGGCGTTTCAGTAGGAATGACATTATATCGGCTGAGCTACACTTGCACTTTATTATATGACACTGACATACTTAAATAGTTTTAACTGGTTTTAACTGTATTTATTGTTGTATTGAGTCACATTATTTTATATATGTACCTATGTTGGTTTTATAATTGTATGTAAGCCGCACAGTCGCTTCAGCGGGAGGGCGGGATAGAAGTCAAACGAATAAATATATATAAACAAATCTCTCCAAGTTGGGGGAAGATTACATTTCTGCAGTCCCAGTTACAAACTCAGGGCTCTGAGCCATGCCGTTTGTCTGCTACTGAGTGCCATGGCTGAGGACCCACATTTATACCCTCCCCCCTCCTGACTGTGAGTACGTCTGTGTGCCATGAGGTGCAAAGGATACTCATTGTAGGGAGAAGTCCTCTACCCCCTGTGTACCACAGGCCCCCATCCCTGGGCACCAAACCCATCCTGCCAGCCCACTGGAGGGCATCACCAGGGGGTCTCGGCCTTAGGGCATCTAGCCCTAGCAGGGCATCACCAGGGGTCTCAGACAATGCTCCCTCTAAGCTGTGGAATCTTGTGAGCAAAAATTCTACTTCGTGAGCTACTGGCTTTAAGGATTGTGCGAGCGATTTGGCTACTGCATAAATCGGTTTGCTGCGGAGTCCTCCTTCTTGAGCGAAGTCAAAAATGTGTGAGCCGGAGGGTAAAAAACTGTGA